GCACAATGTATACTGGGTCAATTTGGGATTTCAAATTAGCCTGAATAGTGAGTGTGAATGGATATCTTCTCTTTTTGCAGCCTTGTCATAGACTGGTGACATGTCCTGGGTGTACCCTGCCTCCAGCTCTCTGTAATCCCGAATTGGACTAAAATTGGAAGCACACCTGGGTGGTGGACTGTGATAAATGAGGGTGTGATCACTGTCTCAAACCCTAACGTTTGAAAATTCTAATTAAAAGAGTTTCCTTATTTACACATACCTTAACCGTTCATGCCAACAACCTGCCAAATCTCAACTTGTTTGGGCTTCTAACACTTCCTGATGATCACTTAATCAAGATAATCTGATGAATTCAACAGAGGGCCTTATTGACTTTGTGATAAGAGGAATTAAAAAGCGGCCTCACCCTTTTTATACTGTGGTCTTCATCCTGGTCATACTTGTTGTAAAATGTAGCAGATTGGGCCCACAAAGAGCAGAAGTCTTTCATAACCATGTCATTTATTTGCAAAGGGTCATTATGAACACATATTTGGACGTTTTAGGCTCCACAATGCTGTTCTCATGGACCTTTGCAATCAGTAGGAGCCAGAATAAAAGAGCAACACACAGCAATTCAACTCTGTTCCACTACATGACATGTGCAGGTTCTCTGAGCTTGGGCTTTTTGGTCACTGGAACATTTTAGTGGGAGCTAGAGACCGGATAGGCATGTGGCTCGTGTCTCAAACAGGAAGCCAGTCAATGCACGCGTTCTGGATGCATGTCTTTGTATAAGTGAAATAATTTACAACAGTCAGTTTTTAGAATGACTAGTTTTTAGTGAGAGACCAATTATGTAACCTTGCCTGGTGGTTTGTGCATTCATTCAAAAGCCCCCAGGTGATGTAAAATGCTCCAGACTCCAACTGTGATATGTTGTACACGTCTAAAATGCTCCAGACTCCAAATGAAAACTAGCAGGAGAGTTCATATTACTCCAGTCTAAGCTCTCTTTTCTCATGTCTTCATGCGTGAAACCTGCATGGTGTGCTTGAACCTATCTGGGCAGATGCCTGTTTGAATCGTTTGAATTTATTCACATCATTTTTAATTTTTTTGAATGATTTTGTTTCTTTTTATATTATGTTCTTAATGCTTGTTCCACTCCTTGCTGTAATGCTTTTAATCTACGTAAAGCACTTTAGGTTGTTTTGTACATGAAATGTGCTATACAAACACATTTGACTTGATTAGAGTACTGTTATACTCAGAGACCTGGAGTTACTGCTTGGTGGATGCTTTGCAAATTGACTGTGTGGCTTTCTCGTTCTGCAGCTACTGTCTGATATCTCAGTTGGATTTCATTAAAAACATTTTAAAAAGTCCATCCATCCATTATCTATACCGTTTAATCCGAACGGGGTACACCCTGGACAGGTCGCCGCATCCATTTCAGGACCACACAGAGACAAACAACCACCCTCACGTTCAACTAGTGTGCAATTAAGATAACATTCATTTTTTTGGATGGTATGAGGAAGCCAGGAGTAGCTGGGGAGCACTGATGCAGACAAAGGGAGAACCCTGTCCCCCACCACACACACACACACCACCACCCGCCAACCACCACACCACTGTGTCACCCTAAGATAGAGTACACAGGAAATCTGCTGGTGTGTCTGCAAAACTTTAGTCAGATTTGAATAAAGTCCATCATGTTTTGACAGCAGGCGTGATTCATTTAAGGTGATCAGAATTTCCAGCAGACACACCCATATATCTTCAGACTGGGAAGTACTGCTTGTTTAATCGAGTTTTTCAAGTTCAAATACTGGTATGTGACACACGTCTAGTAGGGCGGAATAATGTTTTGCTGTCGTGGGACCAACTCACAACTCATTCAGGACTTTGCTGAAAACTTAAAAAGTTATTTCTTGTATGTGGATCGGAGGTGGTAGTGGATTTTCCCACGTACTCAGTCATTTGAAACCTAATGAGTGCTGGAAATGTATAATTCAGGGTATTTTTATGTATATTAAGCATATACTTTTGAATCACAAGTGATATTTGACATCTACAAACTTTAGGAAATAGGAAAAATGCTTGTGAGACCCAATTATACCAGTACCAACACCCAGTTTGAGCAATTTATCTATCAACACTATGAGTTACAGAATGTTGTCTCATTTCTTAAATACATACACTGATTTAAATGTTTATCAGAGCGTGTGTGCCTAGATTATTACCCATATTATTTGCCATATGGGGTGGAGCTCCATTTCCTATTTTCCTTTATACATGTCTACAATGGGGAAGCATTGGCAATGACGTTGCAAATGAACTACAAGCATGAATGGGTTGCAGTTGCTAACAAATTTTGAAATATTGCCATTTGTGGGAAAACCGTGAGCCGTCTCCAGCGACATGCTTAAGTGTTTTATCCATCAGTGGGCATGGGGCATCTGTTCAGGCACAAAGCTCTGAGACGGTTCAGTGTCACTGGAATGTTTTGTGTATCAGGTTTAGGTGATACTGGGGACAAAGTACAAATTACAGCTTTAGGTTTTGAGCATTAACAAGTTGCACCAGACTAATCTTTCAATATAAACAGCTACAAACAGTCTAAAGCCTTTATGTGAACCTAATGTGGTCTGACTAAGTTTCACTTGTTTGCATGGTATTGATCTTGGAACGTCCTGAACTTTACAGCGGGTACTGCATTTGTTTAGAGGTGTGGATTATATTTAATGGCCGGAAGAGAAAAAGTTACAATAAGACAAGCTATTTCAAGAGACAGCACTGTGGATACAGGCACTGTAAAATTCACAAGGCTGTTTCAGGATGAAGAGTTGCATGGTAGTGTGGTGGTTGGTGCCCCCACTTCACAGAAAGAGGTTTTTTTTGGTTCGAATCCTAGTGGGACTGGAGGGCTCCCTGTGTGGAGTTTGCATATTCTCTTGTGTATGCATTAGTTCTACTTCAAATATCTTATTCTCTTGTGCTGCCTGCATTGTTTCCTCTTAATTCCTTCTAATAGCATTGCCACTGCTTAAACCTTTCCGTGGGAAATCTCGTATGCATTTTAAATAATTACATCATAACTGGGGATTTAAATAGTTTAAATGTTTTAGATGCAATGCCACCGGCAACTTTATTATGGTATTTTTTTGTTTAGTTTGAAAGAAACAACAAAAAAGTGGCTTTGATGGAGAAAAATTTTACCTCATTAACCTTATTCAGTTTACCCAGCAGATAAATGATTTGGCTAGCGTTTTCATGTACAAGAGTGTAAAACTTGACAGGTTTACAAGATAATCGCTAAAACAACCAGACGTTAGGGCTGCCAAGGCTGACGTATGAAAAGAGCGTGTGAAGCACTTAAAAAAGACAGTGTATGTGCTTGTTTGACTTGTGGGTGTGTTTGCATTCAGGAAAAAGGTAGGGCCATTGTCGGCATGCATGCTCACCGTCTGGCTCCTGGCAACAAAGGAGATTTCTGATCTTTGAACGCGGGAGAGGAGTAAACTCCAGCTCTGTTGGATGGACTGTTGTCCATGCCAGGGGTGGTAGAATCTAAAGGGGAAGAGAGAGGAAAAAACTTGAACTTATCCCAAAATATGAAAAATGATCTATATCTATCATTATCTATTATCTTTATTTATTATCATTTATCACTTTGCGATAAGTCAGAATTATTGTTCTGTAGTCTTCTGCCAACTGTTATCATGTATATCTGATTATGTAAAACAGGGTTTTGATAAAAGTTTTTATCATTGAATGATGCAAAAGGTCTCAGATGCAAAACATTTCAGAAATCGTCTATGTAAAATATGATACATTCATTTATTCGCTTTCTAGACTCATCCAGTTAATACTGTATTGATTAATACTGTTTCCATGTCTTATATGTAATAATGGTTTTGAAGGGTTTTGTGTGATTTAGCGTAACTTAAAAGTTATTTTGTGTTTGGAATCTAACGATTCTACAATTTTTGGCTCTTTGAATATAACGTACAGAGAAGCATCTTAAGTGCTGCTGACTACACACACTTTAAGAAAAACGACAAAGAATAGTGTGCAAGTCTGAAGACTTTCTTTCCAGCCACACACACAATAGCATGCAGTTGAATGTCCATTTGGCAAGCACTATGTAACTTAATACACCATATATACACCATATATATATATACACCATATAATACATCATATTAGCGCACTTCAATAATGTCATGTGAACAAGAGAAATAGAATCCAGAAGGCTTTCAATTTAAGGGCTAAATACAAATTTGTAAAAAAAAAGATACAAATGAAAACGTCAGTCAAGCTTAGTACACTATCGCTCTCCTTAGGGATAAACTACATTTACAGCCCTAGATCTAGCAGCAGCTCCTTTGACAGTCGGATCCAAAGCTTTTCACATCCTGCATGGAAGTTTTGTGCTGTCCCTTTGGATTCTGCTTGATTTTGGAAACTGTTTAAATCAGAACAGACCCACTGTCAAGCTTAAAGCTTGTATTGTGATATGATGACAGAGGGAAACAAACAACATCTTCCCTGTATCATATCTTAAAATAAGGTTAATACAATCTCATCAAGCCTTGACTTATTACACTCTACAACAATCCTTTTAACAAAAGCTAAGTTAAAACACAAAAATCGTCTGTGGGCAATTTAATACAACATTCATTGGTATGAAAGGCATATAAATGATTTTCAGTTTTAATCCTTTAATGAAGTTGAAGTTGAGTGATATCACAAGCAAACACAGAATTGGCAAGTATGTTGCTGTGTATCTTAACATCTCCTGGTGTGGAGACCCGAGGATCCAAAAAAAACGGGGATTCAGATCTGCCTGGACCGGTGACGGTGTAAGCTACCTTTTATATTCAATCCATGCACAAAGTTAAATGTGAGCGTGGATAATTCCTTTAATCAACAGTTGAGTGCGCTCATGAGACCCGGCAAAGCTCCATAATTACCCTGCACCAGAGCAGGTCAATATTGGCCCATAGCACGCTGTTGCCATGTGACTGAAACGCAGCCATAGTTCAGCCATCGTGCAGCTTGTTAAACTGTGTGATTTCAGCCAACTTTATGATGACTTTCCATCCGTCAGCAAGATCGGTTACCATCATTAATACATCAGGATGCATTAAGAGATATGCTGCCGTCTTGAGTACATTAAAAAACTATAATATAATCATATTACACTGGATTTAATGAACTGCCTCCCTGCGACCCTACTAGGAATAAACATAAATATATACATGAAGGATGGACGGATTGATAAACTGGATGGAATTGATCATTCTGATCTTCTTTGCTCTCATTATCCAAAAAAACTGTTTTGTTTGAACGTAACAGGCCTGGATTGATGGTTCAGAATTGACAAGTAGGGGTGAGTCATCATTTGACTTAAGACACATACACGTCAAAAAGGTGTCTCTGGAGCAAACAATACACTTAATCCCGCTGGCATTTCTTTGGCCTCTGTTACTACTGTGTTGAACTGTGTTGTTGTGTTAGACAAGGACCTGTCCTTTGACTCATAACTAAAAATACAATGCAACCAGAGTTTTAATAAGACCAAGCAGTCGTCATAAACGTGTGCTATGATTGAATTAAATTGAATTTCCTTTGGAAATCAAATCAATATCTGGAGAGCTCTGAGATTCAGGTCCAGCTTGATGGTCAGAGGAAGGCCGTTCTCTGACATGGGCACCGAACATGGGGCTTGTTTAGATTTTTCAGCCTCCATGTTTTATGGCTAAATTGTTTTTCTTTTTGTGACCGCCTGGTTATGTATTAATTAATCACCACCTAAGCTGCCGGCCAAAGTCTGACCTCAAATGCTTACAAGATATGTTTGCTGTAGCTCTGTGAACATTGCTCATTGCCACACGGAAACGTCTGTGGTATAAATCTCTAAGAAATCTGTTCTGTGTACAAACAAAGAAGGTACATAACAATGATAGTAATTTGCAGTCGCAGCAGCATATCAGGCCAAGGTTTGCTATTTACTAGACGTTAAAAAGTCAGAGGCAGACCACGAGAAAGTGTATACAACATATGGCCTCATGTGCCGTTCTGACAGAACCTGTTACTCTGGTTGATTTCTGCAAAGCAGGCTTAAAAATACCAAGTCCTTGTTTAGTTTTCAGAATGAACTATATCAGTAGTAATGGGTAAAGTCCTCAAAGTCCATAGTTTAAGGAACACGCCATTCAACGTGTGGATAAGATTGACTGGACACTGAAGTCAAAGTGTTTTTCTTACTGTCTGGTTGGTCTGTTGAGGCCATCCTCTTCTTCCTCATTGATCGGTAAAAACGCGAGTTCCTGCGGATGGGCTCCCTGCTGAAACCGGTGGTGGATTCATCATCATCATCCTCCTCCTGGCTCTGCTGTACCACACCTGCTTGCCGACGTTTCTCCGGGCTGTCTTGTGCCTTCTGTCCCCACTTGCCCCTGAAAAGTGCTGTTACCGACATTGTGAATAACTCTTGTGCCTCTCTGACAGAAGCCACGGTGAAAATCTCTGCTCGACCTCGAGGGAACTGGTTGAAAGAAATTTGTCATAATTAGCCAAAATCCAAGAGTAATTCCATAGCTAAGAAGGAAAAAAAAAAAGACTGTGGAAATGTAATTCCTATGAAGCCTCCTGGTGAAAGTAAGAGAGATTGTGAATGAATCAAAAGGTGTCCGAGGTCCTTTCTTTTTCTCTCTGAGTGAAACAGCCGTGTTGTTCCTCACAGGCAGTGGAACAAGACTTATGCAAAGCCTATTTCAGCCTTTACTGTAATTATTGCTTTTATGACTCTCTCCTACTCTTTGTCCCTCCTCTGTTTTGCTCGCTCTCTCTCTCTCTCCCTCTGTGTTTCTCTCTTTACACACCCAGTTACATGCTGACATTCCTGAACTCCGCCTGGCCTTCCCATTTAGCTTTTCTCTGCTCTCTCTGTTCTATACTTCTCTCTGTTGCGGAACCAGAAAAGCCACCTTTTGGCTAACAGCTCACGTAGTTCCACCGGGTATGACAGTTTCTAAGAACACTTTGTGTTTCTTTTCTCTCTTGAGGTGTAAGTGTATTTTTTCCCGTTCAGGTTGAATAGACAATTAAAAACCTAATTTTGTAATTACACATATACCATTATACAATTTTACAATTACAATTACAATTACTATATATATATATATATATATATATATGTGTGTGTGTGTGTGTATGCGTATATTATTTTCTTTAGCAGAAACTAAAATCTGCTGTGTTCCTTTTTCTGCTTAGCCAGGGCCTCATGTTTTAGTGCAGTCAGCTGACAAGAAGAGTTCAGAGTTCACATTTTCCCTTTATTCTAAGCCAAGGTTACCGGCCTGGTTACTTTGGTTGTCCGTAGGGCTGCCTGTAGGAAATCAGAAAAGTTCAAACTGAAATAACTGTGGTTAAGATCAAATAAAAAACTCCTTAAAAGCAACAAAATATTTTGCAAGATCAATAAACCTTCATTCATAATTTAATTTCCTAGTATTTCATTTGTTTTTTTTAATGTTTGCATCTTACTTTGTTCTAAGGGGGAGACATTAAACAGTTCTTTCACCATTTGAAAATCCCAGATCAATAAACTTTCATTCATAATTTCAATTTCCAGTATTTCATTTGTTTTCTTTTTTATGTTTGCATCTTACTTTATTCTAAGGGGGAGACATTAAACAGTTATTTCACCATTTGAAAATGAATAACTGCAGACGAAGTGACCTAAGCCATGATGTTGGTTGAATCGGTATGAGAATGCTGTTAATGCGCAAAACCACTGGACAGCAGCTGGAAACCCATTGACTGCAGCAAATTCCCAACCATCACTTTTCTTTTGTTAATCTCCAGGTTTGCTTTGCAGTTTTTCTCATGGATTCGTTACGCAAATAAAATAAAAAACTAGGTGGATCCAGAAAAAAAAAAAAAAAAGATTGGCACTAAACAGTCAATGTACTGTTTCATTTTCGACACCAACATGTGCTTTTATGGGTTGGTGGTGGTTTACAAGATAAAGTAGGCCATCTGGAAGATCAGTCTGGCGTTCAGACCCATAAGCCAAAGTGCCCTTTGTATTTTGAATCGCGGAAGCAAAAACCTTATGCAAGACAAGAAAGGACACTGCGATCAATAAATCAGAAAGAGTGTTACATAAATCATCATCTACCTTTTTCAACATGCTTATCTGTATAAAGCAAAAAATTCAATTGAGGCACCAGGTAACCGTAAAGCTCCGTGGCATCTAAAGTTTACACCACATACATAACATATTTCTTATTTGCAGTTGCTGACCTGGCTGCCCTACCCAGCATTTATTGTTATATTACCAGCTCTTTCAATGTGCCGTTCATTTCTCTCCTCCCGTCCCTTCAACCCCCTCAAAGGCCGGAGCTGGTAAAGATCTCTTCAAAGCTACTAACAGGGGTGGATTAAAGCATCTTTATTACGCAAGTACAGACCATCATAAAATGCCATGAAAAATGGATGTCTGAATCATAAAAATCTTCAACGTTTCTAAAGAAAAGTATTTACCTGACCTGAGCTCTCAAATAAAACAACCACACACAGAGCACAGAGGGGCCTCTAAGCCCAGATATTCACACAACTACCCTCTCTTTGCCATTCCTTTTTTGAAATTGTCCATAGAATAAATTTTCTTCAATTGTTTTGGAAGAGTTAAAGCAGTACAAATGTACACACATGTATGTATATGACCCTATTTGACAAATGTGACCTTAGGGGCCAAAGGCCCATTGGGTCAGTAGAAGGTTCACACTTGTCCATCACAGGGCCACAAATAGACAAACAATAACACACACTCACTGGTCTGTTGCTTCTTTTTGCATAATTTATTCAGTCTTATTTCACTGACTTGTAGAGGCCTTTCTTATTTGTTTATAATTTAACATGATGGTAGGCAACTGCGCATCTCAAGGCACAGAATCAGGTTTGAATGGGCCTCTAATCCAGACAGGTGTTGAGAAAAAGCATCAATCACGGTTTAAATAAATATCCAATGTGTTCAACCACAAGTTCTGCTGGGGTTATGTCTAAAAGGTGAGTGGAAAAATATTCTGCCAATAAAATAGACTTTATTAATCCCGTGAGAGAGATTTAGTTTCTGTACAACGCAACCCGGGAGTGTTTGAGGCCGCAGCCGTTGTGATAGCGCGCCGCTTATTTGCGTGGCATACGGGTTTTATAGAGGGCTATCGCTGCTGAAAAGTGTTTACAGGCTTCTAAATAAGCCCGCAGAAGTTCCTGTGGTCAGTCTTTAAAACCAACAACGCCCTCTAGGGTCACATTACAGAACGGCGGAGTTTAGCAAAGCAGCAGCTTAACTCCGCCCGCCTGATGACGCCGCCTTTGTAGCAGGTGCAGTTACCCAAACGACCCTTGTGGCTTCCTGAGATCGACTTCCGGGTCAGAGTCAGAAGGACACAGTAGACGATGAAGATCAAATTATGAGAAATAAACGTTGCAATTAGCCTCTTGTGATTAATGTAAGTGTATTTACTTCTCGCCTATCGTTTTACAACAGTAGCACTGTGGGTAGAAATGGCCGGAAGCAGACTGGAGAAGTTTGGAACCGTGTTCACCAGGTAAGACAGAAGTAGTTATTTTTCTGTGCGTTCGCTTACACCAGCGGACAGTTAAATATTCTTAACAGACTTTTAATTACTTCAATGTAAGGTTACCGTGCAGAACGATAGTATTAATGCAAGTCCCTGCAGCACGTGGAAAACAACGCCTACTTCTTGAGTCCCGTCAAATAGCAACTACAGACACAAGACTTCCTGTCGTCCTTTTGGAAAAAAATCATATAGTTTTGGAAATCCTGTAGGTTAATATGGTGCCATCTGGTCACACTGGTGAACTATCTGCTATATGTTTTATTTGAGATAATAGCTTTTATCCTGAATTTTAATTTGGACCTTAAAAAAATGACCTAAAATTTCAATATAGTATATTATATTGTATCCAAAGCAAATAGTCTCCTATGCTGAAATGGATGTCTCTGCAGGCTTCTTACCATTACAGTAAGAAAATTAAAAAAGCTCTTGTTTGATGCTCATTTTTCATGTGTCAACACGGGTATATTAATATCCAGATTAAAGTACTGGTACAAGCAAACATAGAGTTACTGGTATCTGTCGCATGATCAAGCAAGATAAGGCTTTGGCACATATAAACATGCTTTTCGGATCCAATATGTGTTTGCGACTGACGTTGTTTTCAAAAAGAATATCTTGCACTGTTTGGACGTTGCTGTGCATGCACAGATAGCCTCTGGTTTTAGTCCCCTTGACCTATGTGATCCCCAGGGTTCGGGATCTGATGCGTTCAGGAGTGATAAAGCCACATGAGAAGCCCATCTGGTTCGACGTGTACATGGCCTTCCCTCCCAAGAGGAACCCGCTGTACGTTAAAAAACAAACCAGGCGCTATGGCGCTGTGGAGGACGCCGTGCCTGAGATCTTCTACACCGAGGATAAAGTGAGAGCGTAAGTCATCTGAATATGTACTCCTAATCGACCTCCCGAAATGTGCAACCTTGCTTTGCAGAAGAAAAAAAACAAGTTTAAGAAAAGGTGGACTTTATTGATCCGAAAATTGGGAAATTGTTGAACCTGGTTTACCTACTGGGTTTAACTTGGCAAGAGGTGACTGGTATTTCAATAAGTAAGTTGTGATTGAATGAGTGGGTTCTTATTTAATTTCAGAGAGCTCCACATACTTGGCTTCTTTAGCTTTTGTGAAATTTTCCAAAATATTGTTTAGAGGAGTGCTTTGATGCCGTCATAACATTTATTATAATACGGGATGGGTGAATACTGATTCTTTAAAGAACACTGCAATTGGGGATTAGGATGGGCAGCTCTTGCCCCCAGCAAATTTCTATTGACCCAGAGGTCCTGATAGAAAAAATCCTGATAAACTTACAACAGGATTATTTATTTTGGTAATGGTGTAATTGCATTAACACGTTTTTTCCAACATGGAAATGCAAATTGATTTTTAAAAAATCATTCTGTCAACATAAATGTATATGTCCTAGGTTCTTATGAGATATTAAATGAGATTTTAAAGAAATGTTTTGCTCCCCTTGTAACTGATATCTTGCCTTTTAGGAGATTCTATGAGCTTTATGGGACAGGTTCTCGGCCTCTAGATCTCTCCAAATCAAACTTTGTGTCAACATGTGAAAGGTATGTCTGCCTGTAATTTTATTTTTTTTGTCTATCTGTGAAATTAAGACCTTAGATCATTTTTATCTCATTAAATGTGTTTAAAAACAAATGTATGTATACAGAATGTCAATGATTCTTCTGGATTTAATATTTCAATCCCAAGCCGGGGTTTTGAAGTCATTTTCATACATTTCCACCACATAGGAATTCCAGCTGTTTTTAGACATACTTCCTCACACTGTCCGTTCCCTTTTTAGCCTTGAAGCTGCAGCTGAATTTCAGTAAGACTTTGTTACCATAAGTCACAGATCACAATTAAAGATCTTGACATGGTTGAATATTTAGAAAAATTCTGAGCTCTGTTAGAATAAACCATAAAAATGAGCTCACAGTATATAGTACTTTATAATGGTATTGTGATATTGGTTAGCTTTATCCAGTGGTAAAAGAATATCTCAACTAGATTTACGCTAATATCCTGCTTTCATAAACAATTTTGCTTTTTTCAAATTTAACTTTGTTATATATTGTTGTCATTTGTTCAATTTAAAAAAACAAAGTGACATATTTCTGATTCTCAGCATCTGCATTCATATTGCGTTGTTTCTGGTAGGAAGACATAAACCAACAGCTGGATGAGGAAACGCATTTAAGAATGACTGAACCGTATCATGAAAACAATCCTAGATCTTTTTTGCCCTCTTGCTCTGATCCCAAAGGTTTGTTGTAAAGTATGCGGAGTTAAAGGACTCCAGCGAACTGAGTGACTCTGCGCTGTTTGAGGAGACGGCGAAGGCTTTACTCAAAGAGGGTGTGATCCTGAGACAGAGAGGAGTTGCTCAGGTAAGAGCTAAAACCCCAAAACACATTTAGCTTTTTATATATGATTATCCAGTAAAACATAGCAAACCAATTTTTGTCTCAGAAGGATGCAGCAAAATGTTTCTATTGAGTTTCCAGTTAATTTATTATAAGATAAGAAACAGTTATTGTCTTAAATTAGCTTTTGCATTTATCAAATTAAATATGACTGCTGAGTGGCCCAACACTGCTTATGGGATAAGTCCATGTTTCTGGTTTTGCTGTAAGGGAAATTGGATGCCTTTTTAAAGCATTCTCTCTCTTCCTCTTTAAAAAAAACAAACAGGGCAGCAGTAGTTTTATTAGTTTAGTTGTTTGCTTAAGCCCTTTAGGTCGTGTCGTTTTTAATTCTCTCCACATTGTTTTTAGATTTAAGGAAATGAGGATTCAATTATCCTTTATTGCTACTACAGAAGAAGTTTCTTGTAACTCACGAGAGAATTGATATTTTTTAATGACTAATTTTCAGAAACATTCAAATTGCGCCGCTTTTATTCTGCAGGTGGATGAACCAAAGGATCCCGTCCTGAATCTGAAATTAAAAGACATGTTAGCCGAGCAGCAACCAACTGAGAATCAAACGACTCAAAGCTAGGAGCCAGAATACGCTGCAGAGATTACCAGCTGCTCCCGGACCCTCCACTCCAGCGACTGCGTTTTGGCCGTCGTTGCTGCATGTCATATTTGCTCGTTTGAATATGACGGACACCAGGATGAAACAACTTTACTTAAGCTACCAAGTCACGCTCCTGGTTTTTTGATGCCAGAGAGATGTTGTCATTTAAAGGAAACGGTACAAAAGCTGTGCATTGTTTTAGATCAAGTCAAATGGTCTGTTTTCATGTTGGAATGAAGATGGAAAACAACTTTTGGATTGGTCGTGACTTTAAGTCTTTCTATTTTCTTTTAAGACACCTTAACATGTACATTTTGTTACAGATTTGATAAGACTACGTCAATGTTCCTTGCAGTTATATAAAACCTGTAATTATTATGTGAATTCAACTGAAGTGGATTCTAATTGGCATTAGTTGGACTTGACCTATGCCTATGCCAGAATTACCATATTTAAATTGAATGCTTGGCAGTTAGTAATAACAAGTCACCATTGTTAACATGTCCACTTAAATCACTTAAATAAAGAGTTTTGGATTGAGAGGTCTTTGTCCTGTTGACCATTTGATGGATAGTAACTGAGACTGTTGTTATTATAATGAATGCATTGTTAAATGTTCTGTGACAAGAACATGCAAAGCTGCAAAAAAGGGGGAATTTTATGAAAAAGCCTGCTGATAACTCATCAAATGTTGCCCCAAGGTGTAGATGACTTGGATTTTACTTTTATAAAAAGCAGAATCTAGGAGGTGTGGACCACAGAAGATTGTTTTCACTAACCATGTGTAAGAAAATCTATTTAGACAAACCTGAAGAGGTATTTCCATAGAATTGTTTAAATGTTGGGAATCGTATTCCTATTTGTCATAAGTTATTTAAAGATATATTTTTGCCTTTCACCTTGCTAGTCGTACAATCCACACTTACTGTAATTTCTCACCAACACGTTCTCAGCTTTTAACAGCATCTCTTACGCGCGTTTTTCATTTCCAAAGCTGGGATTTCTGATTTTGAAGTTGCCCTCGAATGTTACAAGAGGCTGCATACCGGTTCCGCGGGGAAGAAAAATTCCTTAACACCGTATGGGAAAACTAAAGAAATCACTATTTTAATACAAATTCAGCGGAGACGGTTTCTTGCTATATGTTATTTTTACATAACATAATTTATAGAATTATCCACGCATAATTCATCATTTACGAAACATACAAACTACGTTTGCCAATCGCAAATCACTTCAAAGATGTTGATGGGAATCTGTCCTTAATAGCAAAGCACAACGCAATCCTGGAGGTAAGACATTTTCTCTATTACAGAAAAATAAAAATAAATAACGTTTGAAAAAGACGCGATTTCCATGTCGCATCCCCAATTCGGAAGTACATTTAATGCAGCATAAGTTCAGCGCCAGTGTTACAGGAAGTTGTGGCTGCCATGTTTAGCCGCTTTGTTGTAGATCCATCGTAGTGGGCTTCCTGCAGATTTTAGCTCAAGTGTTGCAATGGAAACAAGCTGGAGTACGTTTTTATTTCAAGTAAGTGGCGCTGCTGCTGATAATCCGAGAGACTGCACGAGCCTTTTCGAGGGGCGATGGACCTCGTGAGCTAGATACGTTAGATCACTTCCCGGCAAGAATTGGAGTTAGCCAAGCAAAACAAAGGTGTTAGCGACAACCTGCTAAGTAGCTCCGCTTTTTTGGATTCCCTTAGCAAGCGGCTAACATGCATTGTCGTTGTCGAACTAGAGACTTCGGCATTGTTTGGTTTACTTATCCCCTCTTGGCATCGACCAAATGAATTGTGCTCTGAATCACGTGGTAATATAAGGATTGTGTCCGCTGCCTTCGAAGTTAGCAGGTTTGTGAAGCCACTTAGGATGCACGCGAACGAAATTATCACTTAAGTGAGGCTTTTGCCTTTGGAGGCATGTGTGCTAAGCTAAACGGCTAAGGGGTTAGCCACATTCTAAAGCACTGCAGTAGTTGTGGCCACAGGGGATTACAACGCCTAGATAGGGATTTATTTCGAGTTTTCACTTGAGGTATTATGACGACGAAGGCGGGAAAAAAAATAACGCGTTTGGTGTAATTAACGGTTCATTGAAGAAAAGTTGCTAAAACCGGCACCGTGAATGTAAATGGAGAATACTCTTCAAGCCTTTTAACTTTTCTGTGTAACTTTTTTTTTAATTTAGTGTCTAATGGCAAAAAAGAAAAAGCAAAAGAAGTGAACTAACGTATGATTCAGTTCTGTTCGACACGTCATTTCACATTACCGCGTTTTACCTAAACTCCGTGAAATCTCTCATCCGTTACTTTGGGGGCGGAACTTCCAAACTCCAGCCATTTACACGAAAACTTATTTTCCTACCAACTAACTGAACGCAGACACTCCATATGCTGTGAGCAGGCTGGTCGGAAATAATGGGGGACGTTGTAATGCTATACGAAATATCTCCATTTAGACTGTTTTGAGGCAACATCTGAGTAGTGAATTGAACTATACATGACTTATTCATACAAAAATTATACACAGAGAAAGCTTGGAGTGGCAGAGGGTCATTAATTTTTTTTTATTTCACAGTCCACAGTGTCGCACTGTCAGACTGACTGGAAGGAATGAGCATTTACTTGTGTTTATTTCAAGCTGGGATGTATGTAAAAGGGCTCTGAACTACTTTGTCCATTTACCAATATTCCCATCAAATCTCAGCAAAGCTGAGCCTGAACCACCCGCTACAATTAAGCAATGTTCATTTAGAGTTATTGACAAGAGAAAAAATGCTCATGTCAGGGTACACCTGCCTAAGTGGACTTTTCATTGTTAGCTGATCATGTAACCTAATTTTAACAATAAAAGTGCATCCTCACTCTTAAAAATCTATCGGAACCCGTGGGAGTGAACCCCTCTCACTCTGTGCTTATTGGAAGTCCTCTTAAATCACTGTATAGTCTGATTTGTGTCTCGTATCATGTATATCAAGTATGTCTAATAAATTCCGATTATTTCATAACATGAGTGCCACAGGCAGCAGCAGATGTGAACGCTTCACTGCACGCCAAAGGATAACTTCACCACAGGTGGACTAAAATCCCTCGTGTTATTGATCAGTTTAACAATGGTCAGTTTGGCTTCCCCCACCCCCAAACGTATCCAACATAAATCTTCTGAAAAACCCTAAACTCAGTTTCATCAATACAGAAAGTCAGACCCATTAGCACAAGGAGATGAATGATAACCGGACAGGTTCCATTGAAACTTGCACATACATTTCAATACTTATTGTAAAATAAGACATTTTCCAGCCATGAGTTGCTGTCTTCAGTTTCATTATGGAACAAATTATCAGTTCAATGACCTAGTGATGCTGTTCCCTTATTGGTTTAACAAGATTATGTAAGGAGTTACTTGATGTGCGACTTGCTACTTGGATAGCTAATTTAACTTTCTCTTAGAAAGAATTAATGTGTGTGTGTGTGTGGAGAAGAGCTGTTGCTTATGCATGAGCCAACCCTTGACGACGCGTCTTTTCTCATTACAGCAGGCCAATGAGGCTTTGCATCAGCAGCATCAAATAGCTGGGAACAGTCTCCTGCCTCTGCTGAATTCTGCGAACGAGCCCCCCGACCAGAAGCCGGTGCTACCCATCCCCTTGGACCAGAAGCCACCGGCCAGCGCCACGGGACACCTCAAAGACAATTCGGCGGGAGGAGGTACTTTAGTAGCCGTGAAAAAGGAGCCCAAGTGCAAGACGCCCTTCATCTGTGGCTACTGCAGCAAAGCCTTCCGAGACAGCTACCACCTGCGGCGGCACGAGTCCTGTCACACCGGCATCAAGATGGTGTCGCGGCCCAAGAAGGCCCAGATGGCGCCCACCATGGTGCCGCTCATATCCACCGTGACGCGCGAGAGCAACGGGAACGCCTCCTACGTCACGACGGTGGCCGGGTTGCTGACGACGGCCACCACGTCTACGGCGGCGAGCCCCGGCGTCATGTCCCAGGTGCAGCACCAGCACCAACACCAACACCAGCATCAACACCAGCATCAACACCAACACCAGCATCAGCAACAGCCGAGCGCCCCAAAGAAGCCCCCCAAGCCCGTGAAGAAGAACCACGGCTGCGACATGTGCGGCAAGGCCTTCCGGGACGTCTACCACCTCAACCGCCACAAACTGTCCCACTCCGACGAGAAGCCCTTCGAGTGTCCCATCTGCCACCAGCGCTTCAAGAGGAAGGACCGCATGACGTACCACGTCCGCTCGCACGACGGGGGCGTTCACAAGCCTTACATCTGCTCCGTGTGCGGGAAGGGTTTCTCCAGGTATTTGGCCTTTTTTTTTTTTTTTTATGTCAGCCCTCGGACACAGCCGGTAAACTGGACAACACATCTAGACACGTGTTGTCTTTTTTTTTTTTACATTCCAGTGTCAGGTTTATACTTTGTTAAAAGAATAAAAAACACACACTCACACCAAAAAAAAAAAAAAAAAAAAAATATATATACATATATATATATATAGGTTTTGGACCATGTTGTGCAGCTAGATTTTAGCGAAGTGTTTATTGTTGTTTTTTATGCATTTGTTCTTTTTGTGGTTTATCCATCAATATTTTTACCCTCTCAATCGATTCCATACTTTTATTTTTGGTGTTTGATTTAGAAAACAATGCCACGAATTAAGAATAGAACTAGTAAAAGTGGTAATGAATTAGTAATAAATGCCCACCTATTACTACTATTCTTTCACTCCACATGTGTACAGTACAAACCAGGGTTTCTACATTTTTCCATCATCAAACAAGTCTAGAATAAGTCTAAACACACCCTTTGGGCCTTTGTCAATGAGCTATCACAGATTGTACAGCAGAGATATATTAACAAAATGGAGGGAAAAAAATCCTTACCTTTTCTTTAGTATCCTCTGTATTCGCTGCCAAAATCGCTCCTCAGAAAGTCAGCCGACACTTCATCCCGCCGCTGTGTCCATTACAGAATGTCCTGCTGCTCACAGTTTACAGGGTCGATTGGAGAATGCAAGAGGGAGTCTTTGCACTTGCTATTTAATCTGATCAGCAGAATTACTTGTTTGTTTAGTTTTACCTGAAAGGTGACTTTACTTGGCAAATACTTGAGACTTGATAAAAATCTAAAAAGCGGACTGGTATGAAAAACAAGTAAGTCCAGAAGCATCTTGATAAGTAAATGATAATATGTGATTAAAGAATTTGTGACGGAAGAAGAAAAAATTCCAATATTTGGAATAGTTGATATGTAGTTTAGGTAGGTGTCTGCGTTTTGGATAGTTTCCTATGTTGATGTGGTCACTGTCTGATTATAAGATTCCATTATCTGTTGCAGAGATCTTACATTAGGAAGTGGCTAGGTGTTCCTAAATGTTTAAGTAGATGTAGCTGTATGGGAAAACCATACTCCATGTGCCAGTATCTACTCTAGTATAGGAATAAGGGGAGGATCGAGCTCCTAGTAGCAGGGAGTAAGGATGTGGTTGTTAGTATAGTGGTTTGAAAACCAACCCGGGGGAGGAAAGGGAATCAGAGAATGGCAGTTCAGGAGGCAGAAACAAGTTTTCCATGTTAGTTTCTTCTGATCTTATCCACATCACTCCTCATATTCTAAGAAAGCCAAATATTTATCTGCTGAATTGTCGTTTTGATCTCGAGCATCTTTGCGAGGGCAAAGACTCAAAAGATACCTGAATTTTGGAGGAAAATAAAAAATAATTAGATCCTTCATTATTGCCCTACATTTATATGGAGCCTGTTAGCATTAGAATTGTAAATTTTCTTTTCTTCCCTACACTATTCGATGTTTAATTTGCATTGGTCGGGGGCTCAATCTGGCCGGCGTATCAAGTAACCACAACTATGATGAGTGAACAATCTGTAAAATCAAGAGATTGGTCAAGGCAGCCTAGCAATTTGTGACATCACTCAAAACACAAAGCACAGACAACCAGGATTGTGTGGTCGTCCATTTACACTCGAGCCCCCAAACAACACGCAGCAGGGGGCCGCATAATAATCAGAAAGTAATAATACAATGGGCAGATTCAAACTGCTGGATAAATTGCCCGTAGCAGTGTGTGTGTGTGTGTATGTATATATATATATATATATATAAAGTAGATTAAATCATCTTAAACAAAAGAAGAAAAAAAGCCAGTGATGGTGAGAAAAAATGCAGCAAGAGGGCCAAATATAAAGATGTCAAACCATTACCATGCCAAAGTTTAACTGATAACAGCCGGCAGCAGCATCTGACAAAAGACCAATTCCAGTCTTGTGAGAGATTCAGGTTTTTTGATAACGATCAGGTTTTTGATGCCTATCCAACTTGGGCTTCAGGGCAAAACAAGTGTATGTAGCTCTGTTTACAAACTAATGGTAGTTGTGTGTGTATTTAAATGAGAAAATGAATTGCTGCTGGGCAGCAATAAACACAACAATGTGCACACAGTGAACGAAAGATAAAACGATGTAGAAATAGATGGTGAATTAAAGGCTTGTCCAGAAAGCATTTTTAAATAGAGGCATAAGAACAGGCTCCAGAAATCCACTTTGCTGCTTCTGTTCGGAGACTAGAGAGCGCTGACCACATCCTAGCTGCCGACCAGCGCCGTTCATGAAATCGCTCCTGTTTCTTATGCCACATAACTGGTCGTGATCGTGATATCCTGATTTCTTCTCCCCCTGCAGGCCCGATCACCTCAGCTGTCACGTCAAGCACGTCCATTCCTCCGAGAGGCCGTTCAAGTGCCAAGTAACGGTAAGAGCGCATGCTGTGTTTGGGTCCCATATTTGGGTTGTCTGTTGCTCCCACTTAGACTTAAGCTTCCACTCACCAGCTACGATTTTAGGCCTTTCTCTCATTAGTTTTCCAGGTTTTGTGGTTGCTGTGAACACAATTTCCTCTAGTGGCTAAGTGGGAGACATTCAGATGAGAAATCTGTTTATTGATTAAAAAAAAAAAATTCCACCCATAATTTTCAGTCTTTAAACAAACACGCTTAAGACAAAGCATGTAAAATGAGGTTCAAAATGATTGTTCACGTAACTGCATAGTGCATTGGTCAGTTAAATTGTTTCAGTGTCAGGGAAACATCAACAGTCTGCTTCTCTAAAACTCGTATTTGGTCTATTTAAGGAGAAAATATATGCTGGTGGGGTTATTTCTGTTTTCACCCAAATTGCTCCAATTATTGACAAGTTATGTGGAATGAAAAAAATCATTCAAACAAAAGTTTTTGTCAATGCATGAGCAACAGATTTCCATGTTTGTTCTTCGTGTGGAGAGATATTACAGTTCTGAATGTCATCGGTATCTGCGGCCTGTTTGTTGACGGGCGGTCTTTCTCTCGTAGGCCTGCACCTCTGCCTTTGCCACCAAAGACCGCCTGCGCTCCCACATGATCCGGCACGAGGGAAAAGTAACCTGCAACATTTGCGGCAAAATGCTGAGCGCCGCCTACATCACGAGTCACCTTAAGACGCACGGCCAGACCAGCTTCAGTAACCCCTGTAACAACAAAGGTAGGAGCCCCCGTCGCATTTAGCTTCACTCCAATGTGCCTTTCATGTGCTCCATAGTTCATCCACGCTTGTGGAACGGTGCAAAGTCACCATAAAGTATGGAACACAGTCAGTTTCCATAGATTTATTATACACTACTATCGGAGCCCAGATTTAAGGGTAATATTTGCTCGTCATCACAAATGGGATGGCTTGCCTCCACAGGCTGCTTCCTGAAGCTGCTTCCATTTGCAAATGCAGGCAATTACAACCTTTTAAGTAATTAAAAAAAAAAAAATATATATATATATATATATATCAGTCTACCAAGAGCAGTCTGAATAAGCAAAAACCTCCTTGATAATCAGGAGTTCAGCTAAATACACGCATATAAGCACGAAGCTGACTGTATCCTGGCTAAAATAGAGCAGTCAGATAAACTCCACCATGGGCTTCATTAGACTTTCAGTTTTTAAATGTTTAATTTGGGGTATTTTTTCATTTATTTTTCTTTAGTGGTACACATGAGTAATAACAAGTAATTGGCCTCTTCCAACTTCCAAAAGAATGATTAGTGTATGCATCTGTAGGGCCAGTGAGCCATAGAGAACTGTGGCCAGAGAAAGGCTGTTGGCAGTAGGGAAAAATGTATGGGAGCTTATTTAGAATTCACCAAGTGACATGTGGGAGATTCCCCAAATATTTGGAAAAAGGCTTGTTGGTCAGATGAGACTAAACCTGAACTTTCTGGTCATCGAGGGAAACCCCATGATTGGCAAAGCCCCATATCTTGACTACGATTTTTAGGATATCTTCAAAGCAGGATAATCTATCTAAGTTGTAAGAGGCAGAGCAGTGTTTCTTTGAAGAACGGGGAAAAAAATCCCAGTTCCCGAATGTGCCGAGTTCAAACCCAGTTGTAATTATAATCAGTGTCTCTACGAAACAGAATTTTGAGGTCTGACTAGTTATTCACGCTCAAGTGATCTGTATCGTGTCCTTGTGTTTTTTTCTTTATAACTAATATTTTTAGATCTTCACTGTGTTTTAAATAACAGTCAAAATGATATTTAATTATTTTCTATGTTTCTGTAACACATTGAAACCTAGTGTGGCTTTTAAAAAAGGGATAGAAATGAAAAACAGAATATAATACTTAGCCAAGCCTTTTCACTCAGTTATCAACTGATTTCACTCCAAAGATGGTGTGACGTTCATAATGTTCAAACAGATAAAACTTTATTGTCTTATTTTATTTCTTTCATTTCCTGCAGAGTTTTTCTCATTTTTATTTTGATGTTTGCCGTACGCCTATTTAGTAAAATAGTTAACCTTATAAAAGCCTGAATGTTCCTTGAAATCCATCATAAATGGAAAAAAACTCAATCAAATTGAGTCCCGACTTTCATATCTTATTCTAGATTATTGCTGGTGATCTCTTTGTGGACAACATGTTCGCCAGGCTTAAAGCAGAAATGGTTGATAATGCCACGTTTAACGGCCAAATCTTAATGTGTCCAAACTACAGGGAGGGGTTTTATGCTTTGAAAAAGGTAGCCAGTGCTCAGACCCCAGACCCAAATATAGACAACTTGATATAAATTGTACAGGTCTACTCAGTCCTGCTGCCCTGCGATTATGTAACCGCATATGTGTCTGTATTCCTGAATAGGCATAAGTGACTGGCAGTGGAACCACTCAGGGCCACAAAAAGGTAATCCAGTAGCTGGTAGCTCAATCCTGTAAAAGCCTGATTTGAATTTCTGAAAAAATGAAGTGGCCAGTATTTCTTTATCTTATGCTATAGTACACTGATTCGATAGGTTTTTTTTTGTTCGTTTTTTTTGGTCCTCTAGGGACCGGTCCACTTTATTATATTTTTTTCTTTGAATTTTTAGCTTGAGGATCTTGAGTTATCCTAACATTAAACAAAGGTGAATATTCATGAAGCAGGATCAGTAGATTATGTGAATTAACCACAAACTGGACCTGTATACGTAGGCTATAAGCACACCTACCTCGCTTTTCCATCATGGGTAGTTTTCCTCAACCAACTGCCAGACTTTGACTCATTTGGCTTTTTCACATAGGCATCCCATCAGTCAGATTACACGCATCTCAAACAAGAAAATTGGTCCCCTGGAGTTGAGATCGGGTCTCAAAGACCCAGCAGCAAACTGATAAACCTAACAGCACGGGCAGAAAAGGAAGGAAAGAAACCTGAGCTTATTTGGGATGGAGAAGTTATGAGTTCTGAGTAGTGTGTGTCTTAACTTTGAACCTGAAGAGAATTCAAGATGTCATTCATTAGAGATGTGCTGCTGTTTTTTTAAAGATGAACATTTTGAATCAGACGGTTAGCAGGTTAGTCTATTGATCCTGCTTTTTGAATTTACCCCTCAGGTGAGTTGACGGTAGGAGAGATTTTAAATAACTCCTTCCAAGTCCTAATTGACAACTCTCACAAAGGTAGGTTTCTTCGATTTTACCACAGTAAACATGTCATGAATGCTTTATTTGACGTTTTAAATGGCCCAGTTATTACACGGCAAAAAAAAGCTGAGGAGGCTTTCCTTGTATAAGAGGTGTGCGACGTTGTCTCCGTTTCTTTGCTACACATTTGGTCTCTTTTTTTTTTTCCTTTTTTGTTTGTTTTTATCCTCTCTTGTCTCACAGACGGCAATAACGCTCACAACAGCTCTTCCACAGCGACGTCCGCCTCCAACTCCTCCGCCATCCACTCGGCCATGAGCCACGGCGCCAACGCCAGCAACGCCGTCACCATCACCGCCCAGATGAACATTTCCACCAGCACCGTCAACATCACCTCGCCCGTCAACATGCAGCACCCCGTCACCATCACCGGCCCCGTCAACCTGGCCTCCGTCAGCATCCCCACGTCGGCCCACATGAACCTCGCCCACCCGGTCGCCATCAGCACGCCCATGACCATGAACATCACGGGGCCGCTCAACATCGCCATGCGGCCCATGGATAGCATGCCTTTTCTAACCCAGGCCTTGCCATCTTCCCCTCCTTGGTAGAGTTTTTATTTTTTCTCACGTTACTCAACAGTTAGTAATGTTTTTAACTGCCTAATAGCGCGGGGTGGGGGTCAAAACTAAAGACGTCTCTCTATGGGTTAAACACGCAAAGGGGTAGTAAGGTAATGTAGCTATGAATTTAATCTAAATAGGTAATACGTGAATGTACCAAATGCGCAACAAGAGTAGGAATCCTACCATAACGACATGCTCACAGAAAACAAATCAGGTTTCTGAAAGTGGAGGACTAAAAGGCAGCGCTTGGCCAAACGAGTGTCGACTTCGATCCCAGACTTTTGATCCCCCACCACATCCCAAACAGGCTCACATTCCCAATTGTGGTTTATTTAAATGTGATGCAACACACACACACACAAAAAAAAAATTAATCTCCAGATAAGCAGAGTCAAACCAATAACGCTCAGAAGCTAGACACCTGACAAACAGGGCTGGCACAATAGGGGCTCTTATTCTGAAAAACGCCTCGTACCACATGACACAACAGTCATCAAATGTCTCTACTCATTCATGTTCGACTTCTTCAGGTTGAACTAAATGAGGGATAGAGATTAACCTCCCCCAAAACAGCTCAGAAATTATGACAAGTTTAATGCTAATAGATGAAGTCATCCAACATGCCTTGATTCATGTTAAAGTTCTAGCAGCACGCTTTTTTTCTTTGTTTCGCATCAGCAGTTTCTGTCGGAGACCTGGATTAGAATCCAAAGGTCTAGCTGCTATACTTTCATCCATGTTTACATTCTATTTACCTTTTGCCTGATGCTTTCTCAGTGGGGAAATCCAAGGGTTTGATTTTGAAATGGCAACTAGCTGACTGAGCAAACTCCACACAGCAGTGTTTCATTTTTTTTAATTCTTTTTTTTTTATTCTAATTTTTCTGTCTTGCCACCAAAGGACATAGTTCTTATAAAAGTGACCAGTTCTACAACTCCCCCAGCATATGACTTCAGACATTTTTCATATGTGGCACCCTGTTATTATGACATGTTACTTATGGGGTTTTTCCATAAGTACAGACTCAGGTTTTTTTTTTTTTTGGGGGGGGGGGGTTATTTCATATCTGCCACCTAACAGCTAGTATTTTGTCACTTACCTGACTGGGGGTTGACCCCAGCATGATGGCAGACTAAAGGCTGCATATTAGCCATGAGAACACAGCCTGTTTTCAAAAATGGGTCAACAGCCAACTCTCGATTTTGTTATTCTTTGCTAATCGGCAAAGTAAATCTCCACCACCAGGATGCATCCACAAGAATCAGCCAGTACGTCGTCGTTACAGAAAGCCCCCCCCCCCCCAAACCGAACCGAACTTTTGTTCACTGACAAAAAACAGGTGGATGGTGTTTGCGTGTAAAAATGCCCAAACAGAATTAACCAGTTTTATTGATTGGGGAGAATAAAAAGCTAACCATAGAGAGAGAAAGATATGGGATTGAAGCTGTTTTAAAACAAAAAAAAAAAAAACATTTTAAAACAATTTCGTGGGCTAACACGAAAGGCATCGTGCAACGGCTCCTCAGATGGCCGTTTATTGTAGGAGCTGTTTTTATGTGCCTTCTCCTAAAGCAAATGATAGTTAGTGTTTGTTTTTTTTACCCCTTTGCGCTATTTTTCAGCATTCATCAGTATTAAATAGTTTATGTATTTAACGCCAAATGAAAGGAAGGAAGAAGAAAAAAAGATGCGTCCAAGTTTTTATTTTATTTTTTAGATGAGTCTCAAACGGTGACCTGCTACCCCTGGATGTGCTACAACAGCGTAATAACAATATTGATTCTCGTGTATTTATATCTGGTCCTAACCGTTGGAGGTGTAGTGGTGGAAAAATGTCCGACTGAAAGCGCGGGCCCCAAATTTTCATTTTGAAATATCAGAATCGTCCGTTGTAATTTGTGAGTTTGCCTCGCATAGCGGTCCAAAAAAAACAACAACCTACGGTTGGTTCAGTGACTGGAAGGCACCCTCGCTCAGGAAGGTTACTGAGAATAGTCTACGAAAAAAAAGATGACATTTTATAGCTTTTTTTCAAATTTGTTGTTGTAAATATGAAACGGTATTAGTTGCCTTTACATGTGGCTAGCAGTATAAGAAGTGTTACCATAGATGTGGCCGTCTATGTGGGAGAGGACAAAGGAAAAAACAGACTGAAATGTTAGGCCAGTGTATCTTCTATTTTTTGTTAGCCCCCCCTTCCTTTAATCAGCTTAATCCCATGAAAAGGGCAAAAGCTGTTGACTATTCAAACAACTTAAAATGTTGTTACAATGTCCACAAGGGGAAATTTGTCAATTTGAAGAAGTCAGTGAAGTCCAGCCTTAAAATCTTGTTTTTTTTCTTTGTGGTTTGTGCTCGTCTGCCGAACGTGGATCATGCGCACACATCCCCTTTTATTTATCTTTTTTAAAAACTTGATGGATGATTATCCTTATTGTCCTTACCCATAAATGCACGCAACTATAGACGTATATTTCCACGGATGTTGGGAGGGTGGGACGGGGGGTACGCGAGAAGCCCCATCCCATTTATGGAACCGTCGCATAAATACCACCAACATCCGCATTCGCACAGGAGACGAACTCCTGCCATGAGCTTGATGTCAAGATGTCTTCCACTCATCGCACACACGTTGAATTAGTTCAGTTTATGTGGCCTCTGGAGCTCCGGATCCAAAGTAGGAGCTGCATAGAAAGGACGAAAACCCTGCTTTGTTTGTCTTTCCTAAAAATGGACGATGCTTACTGTGCTCCACTCATGCCTCTGAGGACCGCAAATGGACTGTTATACAGTCCAGGCCTGCAGGATGCACCATGCCCTGACATGGACACAGCTTTTTTAAATTCTTTTTGCATGACCTACTCACAATTGGGCAGATAATCACACCTTTTTTTCTCTTTTTCTTTTAATTTTCTGCTTTGGACTGTTTCGTGTGGGTCGGTTCAAATCCACAAACGTGTCGCTTTTTAAATGCCACGCATCAAAATGAAATACTAAATACTTCCAGTTGTCGATGTGAGACGTGTACTTGTCACAACCAAGCCAAAGGACGGTGACTGGTTAAAGTGGTGAGCATTTTTTACTCCTGTTTCTTTTCCTTTTTTTAAAATCTTAGTCTTAACACTCCCTGCACCAAGCTGACGTTTGTGTGTCACGATGGAAAAAAGTGAATTAGCGTCTTTTGAAATTGAAAAGGCGGCGTGTAGTTTAGGGCCCAGTTTTTAGTGCAGCGACTTTTAAAGCACTTGCAGTAATCTCTAGAATGTGCACACTACAGTAGAATGGTACTTTACATGGGCATTTTGAATTTAGATGAAATGAAACCATGAGTGCTGCAAGTTTTGTAGCTCCCGTAGCACATGTATGTTTTTTTTTGTTAGTTAAATATTTGGGCTATTAAGGTCAGCGCATGCATGCCGACATTGGCCATGGAGAAAACATGTTCCAACGGGAAATTGCATTTTTTTTCAAATGCTTCTACCATATTTCCAGCTCGGACTTTTCCAGAATGACTGACCGAGCTGGTCATATGTGTTGAGTTCGACCCTCGTTAGAATGCCGGATACGTACTCAAACCAAACACTAAAATAGGATGGAAAATAAGCGAGCGGTTTATTATTTATCTTCATCTAGTGGCAGCAAATAAGTGTGCCTGAAATACTTGTCAAGACACTTGTGAACACCGATGCTTTTGTGTTTATGGTCTATAAACGGTCGTCATGTGGAGGATGCCTCCATTACTTTGGACGACCCAAAGCACAGGTGTGGCAAACACTCTATTATTGGCTTTATTTTTAAAAACTAATAATTGTGGTGTTTTCTACTTAAAAAAAAAATGCTATTGGAATATCTGTTTTTGTTTTTTCTTTGTATTAGAATTATTGCAAGCATGGTATCATTTTATTTGACTCTAACCAAATGTGAAAAAAACAAACATTTGTTTGGCCAAATAATGACTTAAAACTTCTACTTTTTGGGAGGGGTGGGGGGTGGAAGATGAATTTGGCAGGTGTGAAGGCAAATGAATGTATATCTTTGTACAAAACCATTTAGGACATGTTATGTTACACATGCAAGACTTAAATAACCTTTTTATAAATCCTTTTGTATTTAGAACATTAACATTGGTAATTTTTGTATATAAGATGATTAGGCTTTCTGATTAGCAGAAAGGTGAAACATTCCTACATTTTTTAAAAATGTATGTCTATAGAAAATAATTATGAATACATGCGGTGTTTTACGTGCCTTTTTATTTGGGTTTGTCAAAATAAAGGAAAACGGTGAAACCTGATTGCGTTGTGTTTGTACTGAGTCCTACAATGGTCAAACTGAGCCTCACCTAATTTATAACATAGCTAAATCAAGACAAATCTTCCTTTGTAAATCATTTACAGTATGTTGTTGTATGTATCCCTCAATTATTACAGAAATACATCCAATAGGATAGGCCGTTTTGTTAATTTCCATTCAGTAACTACTTGTTACTTGAGTTAAGACTCACTTCAGTAATGACAATTCAGACAGAAATCAGTTACACTAAATTATGGATTTTTTTTCTTCTTAAAAAAAAACAGAACAGGTAAAAGAAATTGCTCTGGCAACTTAATTTGAGTTAAGGCTGTTAGAGCTTCTGTCAAAGTTCAACTAACATGTGATTTGAATATTTTCAGACGATTGATCGTCCAACACTTTCATGTTGGACGATCAATTGGTGGCCAAAAACTAAATCACAGCTTAAGTTGTCATTTAGCTATTTAATTTATAACAAAACTGTTCTTACAGTTCAAGTTATTTAATTGACACTTACTTGGTTTTACGCTTTCCAGTCTCTCAACAAGGGTCGAGTCAGAGATACATGGTGATTTATTCATGAGCTAACCCACTAAAACAACATGAACAAGAATATGTTGTTTTTCCATAACAACATTGTGTTCTTTCTCTTGATTAAATTGTTCTCAGAACCCGTACACAAGCAATCATT